CTTATCTTTGACGTACTACTTGAAAGATCTTCCGCAAACTCATTGTTTACAAGTTTTGCTCTTCCTCGCACAAACGCCAAGAAGTTTTGAAAATTTGGTCTTGAACCAGATTCAATAATTGTTCCTGCACGCTCTGTCCATTTAACCTTCATAAACATGGGGAGCTTCCTATTTAACTCGCGTAAAGTGTTTACGTGACTTAATTCACTTTCATATTCTGGCCCCATACTGGTCAGGGTTCTGTTAGCAATTTCTAACTTTCTTGCATATTCCAACAAACTCGGTCCATCTGCTTGTTTCAGGACCGGCAGGTTCTCCAGTTTCCTGATATGTGCTTTCGCAATTATATGGGGCTTCCCAAAGTTTTCCTTTAAGGTATTCTTTGCCGTAACATAACCTTGTTCCACTGGCAGGTTCACACAAGACTCTATTGCTTCAAGAGCTTTCCCATTGCAGTATCAATAGTTGAAGTATTGTGGCATTGTCAGGGTTATCCTTCTCCAGACAAGTTTCAAAGTTATGAATGAAGGAGACATAATTCATAGGCTCTCCTCATGTATTTAATCCTTGGGGTTGACACTACTTGTCGTAATGCTCTAACCATCTCTTCGCCACTGTCACTCCTTACAGGCATTGGCAACTCCACCCTCCTCTCAGGTGATTGCCATGGTAATTTAGTTGCTGATTCTGTAGGTAATTTTACAGTTGGGTGCCATAGAGGTGTATCAAAGTTTCTACAGTTCTCTACAGATGGCATTTGAAATGCTGAGGGTAATTTGGTGTTTAACTGCAATCTATCATCTCCAGGATAGTTCCACAATTTACTTGTTTGAGGGCTGAAAGCACTAGGCTGACTTGTATGCTGCTTCGCTGCTAGAACTAAAGTGGGGTAGTTCACAACTGGACGATTCGCCATTGTGAGTTTTGCATAGTCCCAGTCCATTCTACTTGCTACACACACTACCGGTCTATACGCTTCATGTTTCCCAAAATTCTGCATTGTTCTCGACTGGTTTTGGATTGAAGGACGACCAGTATAAATTTCACTATCCAATCCATAAACAACATTCTCAGGCAGAGGGTCTAATTCATATTGTCCCCGTATATACTCATCAGCTAGTTCATTTTGAATATTGAAACTAACCTTTGCCTGTTCCTCCATTCATACTTTAGCTCTGCCATTCTCCTTTTCATTTCATGTCGTTGCATTAACTGGCTAACTTTTAACTGTGCAAGGGCTACCTTCTCTCTCTTCTTCGACAAGGCTGATGTTGAACTTGCACCACTTGTTGAAACACTAATTTGGCTTTGACCTTTACCAGTACTCTGCAACTTTGACTTTCTTCCCCAACATGCAAATAGTTGGTCCAAATGTACCTTTTCGTCCATCTGATCTTTGTATGTTAAATTAGCTCTTCTTCTTTCATCTTCAGCTGTAACAACCTCCAAGTACTGCTCATGAACACTAACAAATTCACTCCATAGTTTATCATACCCATTTTTCTTCGACACAATCTCGTCAGTATTTCCTAGTCCTGCATCCATAAGTCCTTGAATGTCCTCGTGTAATCTTGATAAACTGTTAATATACTCCAACCTGGACTTGAATAGATTATTTATGTTCTCCAGCATATATTCTTCACGACTCATAATAGCTAAATTTAATTGCACTTCAATAATTGCAAATCCTTTTTCTCAGTCTACTTAAAGTTTAATGTACACAATGTTCATAATATATCACTCTAGATGAAACCCCATCCTCATTACTTCATGTTCCACAATAATAATATATCCAAACAATACTAACTCGTAATCGCGAGTTTAACTACCGAAACCAGTTCGACGTGTTCAAGCTGACAATTTAAGGCTATAGCCAACGTACTGTACAATACAATATTGTTTTCTTCCTGAAATATGTCCCTTTAAGTACCATATGTTTATACCCAACACACCAATGACCGAATAATTCCGTAATATCGATCCTCTATCGTAAACAACTATGAAGTAATACACTCTCGTTCAACAATGCAATGTGAAATAACAATAGCGTCTTCTTCCTGAAGACCAAACCTTTTCAAACGTATTAAATTCCACGTGACACCCACGACTTTAATACTTATAATCCCACGATTCCACCTTGTTTCCAACTAAAGTAACGACATAATCCATACCATATTCCCTTGAAACAACACAATTTTCAAACGGTAATACTATCTTTTTTCTGACGACTTTCACTCTGATCACGCGTAGAATTCTCAAACGGTTCTAAACTGTAACTTTCTTTGGACGCCGACCCGGACTAATACACACAACTCCATTTAACTCAACTTTGTTTACCTTACTTTCGCGTTTACAATAACTTTTTCTTTACCTCTCCTCTACTACCTCAGTTCACTTTATTTAACTACGTTTACTCTCCTTCAGAGTACATTTAAAAACCCTTTGAGTACGTTTAGAACCGTTTGGTTCTACATGCATATATAAATTTGTCAATATGGCGTCCATTCGCCTAAAAACTCTCCTCTGAAACCCGCGTGTTCCGTCACATAACACTCGCATACCGGAAAACACCACTTACCGGAAGAAACGGTAGCTACATATATATATATATATATATATATATATATATATATATATATATATATATATATATATATATATATATATATATATATTATATATATATATATATATATATATACTGTCGTTATCAAAAAGGTTGTCCTGAGCAAGTATATGTATATATCGATCACGTGACATTATTATGCATCAACACGCGTGGGATTGTACAAGCGTGTTAATTGCGAGTTCGAGTATAGCAAGGTGAACGATTAGAAAATGCCAAGACCATATTCGGATGATTTAAGGTGGAGAATGGTTTACCAACGACTGTTTTACGAAAGAATCATCGACGAAATTACAGCACAGCTATTTGTTTGTTTAAAAACCGTCTATCGTACTCTCAGCACCTTTTGGAACACGGGTGATGTAAAGCCTTGCCGTATGGGTCGCCCAACAGCGAGCAAATCTTTATTCCCACACGAAGAATATATTAACATGGACTGTTTACTGCGAACGCCGCAAATACAGTTGAATGAGATAGCAAGCTATATGTAAACCTCTTCAATAGGATTGAAATCAGGACTGTCGTACACTCGTTCTACAACTTCTTGTACATGATGTGTTGGGTGGTTATCTGTTAAAAAATATGCATATTACTAGTTTTAGCAGTTGCATCTTTGTGCACCAACAAGTTTTGTTTAAACAGATAGATCAAAACATGATCACAAATTCAGTCATCCCTTGAGACATATGTTAGAACAGCGAATTTGCATTAATCATATTTTAATCTCACCCATAACGAGGACGGATCGCGATATATATATATATATATATATATATATATATATATATATATATATATATATATATATATATATATATATATATATATATATATATATATATGTATGTCCCATATATATGGGTGTCCCAAAAAAACGAAAACTATTGAAATCACCCATAAGAATGTAATTGTTAGAGTTTGAATACCTAAGCACTCTGTTGGGACCAGTGAACTCTAATAAGACTAGAACGATAACTCAACAATAAAGACTAGTCATTGGATGAAGCCGATTTGAATATAATTTGCTGATTAAGGCGGCAGCCGAGCGAGCAAATCAAGCCTTCAAAAGAACTGGGGAGAGTGAAAATTCCGTAAAAATCGTATTTTTTGGCAAAAAATTGCGAGAAAAGTGCAATTTTTATTTGACCACTTCAACTTTAAACAACGAATTTACCCTTTTTGGATAGACCTAAGTAATCCGCATCATCTTACTGTAAAAACCGGCGAGGTACCAGCTTTGTACTTGAAATATTTAAAGAATTTGAACGGGCCGAAAAAAAACTTCGCCTTCAACTCGCAAAAAAAATAGGTTTGCACCTTTTCACGTTCATAAAACTTGTTTTTTAGTAAAATCTAAGTGTCAATGCTTGTTTTAAGCTTTTATTCATGATCAGATGAGAAGGATTTGTGTATAAAAACCGGCGTTGTTTTGGTGGTGTAATTTCAACTCTTGGCCTTCATGGCGGCCATCAGTGCTGGCTTCAAAGATGGCGGCCAAGTTATCGTTCCAGTCTTTTTAGAGTTCACTGGTTGGGACCCAGAGATGTATAAATGTTTGCCATACTGATTTTTATGCATGCATATGATGCAGTATAATTTGCTTGTTCGCAAGATTGATATTTATCAACAATATTTACAATTTACAAATATGGATAACATTATTTAAATGTGCATCTCAAGGACCATGATCTTCAACATGTCCCCTTTCTCTAGCAACACAAAGCATTTAGCATTTTATAAGTTGCATTAAATCCCCACGGGCTGAAATTCGTGAACACGGCATTTAAATTTTAACAATGAGTGATTTCAATAGTTTTCGTTTCGAGACGACTAACTTAGCTTCCAGAAAAACGTAAGAATTATTGCCATTTTTTCCAAAAAATAGGAGGGTAAACTTTGATTCTTTGAAAATATACGGCTCTTAGCCGTTACGACTTGCTATGACTTACAGTACATTCACTTGCAGAAAAATATTTCCATACTTCTTTTTTCACAAACCGCACGTTACCACACGTACCCCCCGACCATCCTCCAAACCACATAAATTTTTCAACTATATTATGCTACCATCCATATGCTTAAATGATTTCGTTTAACCTAGGCAAGGGGTTGCTGCATACACGTGTTTCTAGTTTAACTATAGTTATTGATAGAATTCGCAAATAAATATCTAGCAGGAAACGCCATTGATTTCAGAATGGGTATAATGAATCTAATAGCGAAGGCTTCAAAACAGGGCTGCGAGAATAGTTTTGGGTTATCCCAACGAGCACGGTCCTTCAGAAGCTGCTTAGGCTGAGCTGGGGTGGAAAACCCTTATAAGGAACATGGACTAGAATCCGAAGCCAAACTCGTGTACAAGATTAACAATGGTAATATTTCGAATACAGAAGTTCGTAATAACAATGCTTTATTCTTATCAAAAAACACCGAATACAGCTGATGAAGGACAAATAACTAAAATAAACGTCAGTAGCTGTCTTTATATGGTCTCCTACCAACCAACTTCAGTTTTTCATCAGGTCACCGCAAATGGTTAATATTTCAGACTATGTTTTAAATAGGACTCATTTGACGGTAATGTAGCAATATAAAGTTAAGCGTAAGCCACAAGACGTGAAACAAGCCTTATTAATATGGAAACAATTTGATTAGTGACGTTTTCAAATTTATCCGGCAAAGCCGTCCACTCGTATCCGCTCAGCCGTCGTTTTCAAATTCTTCCACTCTGGAGAGCGTTTTCAGATTCCCCCCCCCCCCTTTTTGAGTGGGAGAAAACGCCGGATACGTGTGGACAGTACGCGTAACCGTCGAATTACTGGAAACATTATATTCAAAGTACTCAAATTACGTTACCTGCGATATTATCATATTATAATTGGGCACGAGTACCCATTTTAGCCGTAGACGGGGCTTGTGTGATGTAATATGATGCGAAGTCATATGATTGGTGATATGTGATGCAACGTCATACTATATCATGGTATATGATGTTATCGCTACATTACCACATGATGATGATTCCGGACATGAACTAGTTTTAAGCTATCATAACAGGGCACTAAAGTAAACCTCTAATTATAAAATGGAGAAAGTAAGATTTGACATCTGTTGTATATAACCAGGTGGTGTTGGCCATGAAGATAGCTTTTCACTTTACTATATATCGCATGTTGCCAGCAAAAACAAAAAATAAACCAAAAAAATTAACACAACTGGGAAAATAAAAAAACGCAATTTAAACCTGTGACGTTCGTTCAGAATGGTCTTCGTCATCTCAGTATAATGCCTTTGGCAAGAATTCCCGATATCGTAATAGTTTACACCGGCATCAGCATTATTTTGGGTAATTATCTCTTGTGCGAGTGGGCTTTCTTGAGAGAATTTCTCTATAAATCCCAGTTAGTTTTCTCCTCTTTTTTCTAGAATTAGGTGCAGGGTTGCTGATAGGTTGTCGTTGTACTAATTCAGCTACAGTTTCTTGGAGTGCCTGTGAAGTGAGACAATGCACTTGCGTGGATCCACTTGATGTCAAGTTTCCGACAAGCTGTTCTGCACTATCCACCTCGATACCTAAAGGTCTTCCCGTTTTGTTCAAAATTCTGAGATACACATCAATATCGTTGGAATCGCATCCCTCGGAGTCGTTCACATTACAAAACCTGTCTAACGTGGCAAGTCCAATGTCATCTTCCTCCAGAACACGAATGGACGTTTTAGCCCCTTCCTGTGAATCCAGAACTCTGAGAATTAATTGCATATTGGCTTCCGGGACTGGTACGGCCAATTCCTCTTCGTTTGTGACATTATCTTCGCTACGAGAAGAGAAATCTCTTGTGCCAGAAACCATATTTAACTTACATTGTTCTCCGTTCTTGTTTAATGATACTGGATTATTGTCTATACCGACAGATACCCCGTTTTCTGGTTCACAAACCTGTGCGCGGTTGAGTTCCTTCAACGTCTCTAGTTTCCTTTTTTCATTACTAGTAAGGCCTTTTAAGTCATGCCAAGTTAATGATTCATTTGCTTTTTGTTCCCGAGAAACCTCTTTGTTCAAAGTAACGGTCTGTTCGCCCAATACCTGAGTAGTATTATCGTTCAACGTGTGCAATTTTTCTTCCTCGGCAATACGTATTCCTAAGCCCTCTGATTTTTTAGTCGATTTTTCTCCCCAAGAAGCAAATACTTCTGTTAAACTATCGTTTAACGTCTGTTGTTTTGCTTCATCAGAGCTGAAGACGTCATCTAAATTATGTTGTTTTCCTTGTTCTGCATTAAGATTGTCGACCTTTTGTGATACCTTGAGACAATCCCCATTTGGAGCCGCTTTGTCTAATTTTTCCGCGCTGCAAATTTCGTTTGAAGGAAGATCGTTTTTACGATTTGTTTTTGCAACGCCAATTTTCCAATTAGTTAATGCCTTTAGAGAGTCTTCAAGGCCGGGCTGAGACTGATGTTCGACAGTGTCCCTAGTTAAATCATCCGGTTTAGAATGCGCAACCGGAGAACTGTCATCAGGAAATTGGAAATCAACTGCTACCATTTTGTTGTCTTTATTTATTGGGGACTTGCAAACATCACTTTGGACACCTTGCTGCACCAACTGGGGCTCAGATTTTCCCAGGCTATTATCAGCCTCATTTGCTTGAGGTTCAACAACTTTTTCAGATTTAGAAACTGAAACATCAGCTTGTAGTGGGTTATAATGATTTGAGGTTTTCGTACTGATCGACGTGTTCTCGACTATGCCTTCAGAATGACCAAGTTCAATGCCTAAATTTCTGCGCACGGTTGCCAGTGGATCGCGTGTTTCCGAATCATTTGATCTTGTTTGTGAACCACACGATGTAAAGTTGGAGTCATTCAATGCTTTGGTATGTTCTGTGGAACTCAGCTCACTCTGCATCTCACTCGGTTGGTCCAGGTTTACCTGTGATGAAATAGACACTTTTTTTTAAATATCTTAAGAAAAAAGAGTGATTTGAGGCAACCAGATGCGACACTTCAAATAGGACTTCAAGTTATATTTTGGATGTAATATATGAACAGCGAGAGCGAGTGTCTCACCGGGATATTCAAACCCAACTGAGAAAACAATGTATGAAAACAGAATGTTTTAATTATTCGTTTTCAAGAGTTTGGATATCCCAGAGAGACACGAACAGAAGTTGTTCCAGTGGCTTCTCGAATGAATCGAGACAAAAGGTCTCCGGAAGGTGAGTTCTTTACAATTTCTAAATACGTGAAAGATAGGTAAGAATTGATTGTGATACGCAATGCATGATTATTATTGATGTTTTTTGCATAGGAGTGGTTACAATTAAAGCAAAGTTTTATTTTGGTGTTTTTATTTAGTTATTTTGTATGCTGATTTGATTTAATTTTAGATAATTATGCGATAGCGAGTAAAATTTGGAATTAACGATGAAGCTAATTTAGATATGGTAGATCACTTCATCTCCAGGCCTCCGCTAAACGCTTGCACTTTTGAGAAAACAAAGAAACTCAAAAAATGAATCAGATATCAAATAACCCAAAAACTAACCTAAAGATATTTTCAGAGGTTCATTTTCGGGGTTTGCAAACATCAAAAGAGAAAAGAAGGTAAAAAAAAAACAGAAAGTAAACGGCGCGTATTCGCACCCAGACATTCACATACCGCACTAGAGACCAAAACCGCTTAACACTCCACTACTTTGCACTGCCAGAAAACCCACTAGCTTAACATTGTTAATATAGAGTTCTTATTTATACAAAACGCGTATACGCGGAAGGCCAGCTATTGAACGAGGTGCTCTAGCATATCTGAAATATTATAGCAATACGAGTGAAGTTTTTATAGAAAATTTTGTGAAAATTTCAACATCGCTCAACACGAGCAACATTTTTTAACCACGAGTATGATTTTGGCATTAATTGCAAGACTTAATTCGTTCTATTACTCATTAATTAATTATATATCTTCTGTAATCTAAAGATACAACTTTATTTAATTTCAATAAAATCGTTAAATTTTATCAAAATAAGATTGATTGGTGGTATATAGCTAAATTGTATAATTTAAAATTATTAAAGTTTAGCGTATATTTACCATTTTGCTCTCTCCATTCTCAGTTCGGGCATCATTCCCTATTTGGGGGTTGCAAACATCACTTTGGACATCTTGCTGCACGAACTGGGGTTCAGATTTTCTCAGGATATTTTCAGGCTCATTTTCTTGAGGTTCAACAACTTTTTCTGATTCAGACACTGAAACATTAGCTTCTAGTGGGTTACACTGATTTGAGGTTTTCGTACTGATCGACGTGTTCTCGACTATGCCTTCAAAATGACCAAGTTCAATGCTTGAATCTCTGGGCACGGTTGCCATTGGATCGCGCGTTTCCGGGTCATTTGATATAGTTTGTGAACCACACGATGTCTTTACATTGGAGTCATTCAATGCTTCGGTATGTTCAGTGGAACTCAACTCACTTTGCATCTCACTCGGTTGGTCCAAGCTTACCTGTGAAATAGAGAAGTTTTTTTAAATACCTAAGAGAAAGAGTGATTTGAGGCAACGAGATGTGACACTCTAAATAGGACTTCAAGTTAAATTTTGGATGTAATATATGAACAGCGAGAGCGAGTGTCTCACCGGGATATTCAAACCCGACTGCACGAGAAAACAATGTATGAAAACAGAACTGCGAAGAACGGTTTGTTTTAATTAATCGTTTTGTTTTGTTTTAATTAATCGTTTCGGTTTTAATAAAATTTTGTCAAAATTTCAAACATCACAAATACAATTAATCCCTCAACATCGCTCAGCACGAGCAACATTTGTTAACCACGAGTAAGATTTTGGCATTAATTGTACGACTTAATTCGTTCTATTACTGATAATCTAAAGATGCAACTGTATTAAACTTTAATAAAAGCGTTAAATTTTATCACAACAAGATTGGTTGGTGGTATTACAGCTAAATAGTATATTTTAAAATGATTAAAGTTTAGCGTATATTTACCATTTCGCTCTCTCCATTCTTAGTTTGGGCATCATTCCCTATTGGGGAGTTGCAAACATCACTTTGGACATCTCGCTGAACCAACTGGGGCTCAGATTTTCCCAGGATATTATCAGCCTCGTTTGCTTGAGGTTCAACAACTTTTTCAGATTTAGAAACTGAAACATCAGCTTCTAGTGGGTTATACTGATTTGAAGTTTTCGTACTGATCGACGTGTTCTCGACTATGCCTTCAGAATGACCAAGTTCAATGCTTACATTTCTGCGCACGGTTGCAAGTGGATCGCGTGTTTCCGGGTCATTTGATGTAGTTTGTGAACCACACGATGTAAAGTTGGAGTCATTCAATGCTTCGGTATGTTCTGTGGAACTCAACTCACTCTGCATCTCACTCGGTTGGTCCAGGTTTACCTGTGATGAAATAGAGACGTTTTTTTTAAATATCTTAAGACAAAAGAGTATTTTGAGGCAACGAGATGTTACACTTTAAATATGACTTGGAGTTAAATTTTGGATGTAATAATCATATGAACAGCGAGAGCGAGTGTTTTCCCGGGATATCTAAACCGAGAAAACGATGTATGAAAACATTGGGGCAAACTCGCGGCCAAAGCGATTTCCCATACAAAGGTATAATGAGTGAGGGAAATTTATATTTGCGCATTTTGCTCGATTTTGGCAAAACGATTTACAAAATGTTGAATTTCAAAGATTATTACGGATAAATAGGTTTTTGTGAATATGTGGCATGAAGTATATGTGAATCAGAGATCGGGAAGTGTTAAATTTTTGCCAGCTATTCAGCGGGGTGCTCTAGCACATCTGAAATATTATTGGAATACGAGTGACGTTTTTATAGAAAATTTTGTGAAAATTTTGTCAAAATTTCAAACATCACAAATACAATTAATCCCTAATTGTACGAGCAACATCGCCCAGCACGAGCAACATTTGTTAACTACGAGTATGATTTTGGCATTAATTGTACCACTTAATTCGTTCTATTAGTGATAATCTAAAGATGCAACTTTATTAAACTTTAATAAAAGCGTTAAATTTTATCACAACAAGATTGGTTGACGGTATATAGCTAAATAATATATTTCAAAATTAATAAAGTTTAGCGTATATTTACCATTTCGCTCTCTCCATTCTTAGTTTCGCCACCATTCCCTATTGGGGAGTTGCAAACATCACTTTGGACACCTTGCTGGACCAACTGGGGCTCAGATTTTCCCAGGATATTTTCAGCCTCATTTACTTGCGGTTCAACAACTTTTACAGATTTCGACACTGAAACATCAGCTTCTAGTGGGTTATACTCATTTGAGGTTTTCGAACTGATCGACGTGTTTTCGACTTTGCCTTCAGAATGACCAAGTTCAATGCCTGAATTTCTGCGCACGGTTGCCAGTGGATCGCGCGTTTCCGGACCATTTGATGTAGTTTGTGAACCACACGATGTAAAGTTGGAGTCATTCAATGCTTCGGTATGTTCTGTGGAACTCAACTCAAGCTGCATCTCTCTCGGTTGGTCCAGGCTTACCTGTGATGAAATAGAGAAGTTTTTTTTAAATACCTAAGAGAAAAGAATGATTTGAGGCAACGAGATGTGACATTTTAATGGAACTTGAGGTTAAATTTTAGGTGTAATAATATATGAACAGCGAAAGCGAGTGTTTTACCGGGATATTCAAACTTGACAGAGAAAACAACGCATGAAAACACTGGGGCGGGCTCGCGGCCAGGGCGATGTCCCATAGAAATCTATAACGAGTGAGGGAAATTTATACATGTGCATTTTGCTCGATTGTTGCGAAACGATTAAAAAAGTGTTCAATTTCAAAGATTATTACGGGTAAATGGGTTTTTGTTGATATGTGGCTGGAAGTATATGTTATTATAAATAATATGTATATAACGCGTGTTCTGATTGGTTGAAGCCCATTGGATGGCCTGATCTATTCTGTTTATATTGTCACTCAGAATGTCGCTATAAAGTCTTTTAAAACTTGGTAGTTTGATCGATATTTATTTACATGTTATAAAAAAATAAACATTCCACCTAATCTACTAACACAGGGATTCAAAACTGTCTGATGGTTATGTGTTGCTTTTATTCTATTAAAGGCAGAATAATGGTAGTAATGTTTATTGTTACTTCAATGGTGGCTAGGTTGACGGTTACTTCAATGGTAGTAAGATGTTACAAATGTCACAAATTAATAATATCACATGTGCAATACCCTGCTGACATAGTTGCTTCAACTTGAAGTTGGAAATAAAGCAAAGCTTGAGTTGCAAAAATACTTCTGTTTATAAGCTCCAAATACATCCTTGACCATGAAGTTAAGGAACCTTGATGACTATAATGTCTTGTCCATGCCTTATACATGCAGTACACAATTTGCAGCAAATACACCATTTGTATGTTATTGAAGTCAATTTTCCCATAAAGATCAGTATGAAAACATCTAATGACCCTTTTTGGTGTTAATTTTAATTTTTTTGTCAAATTATTCATATGACTGTTTATTACTCCTTCTAATTTGTACATACATGCAAGCATGCTGCATAAAAATATTAAAAGCTGTAAAACTTTATCTTTAGTTCCATGATCAATATTCCTTTCTTTATACTTGTTACATTCAAAAGCTCCCATGTTATCATGAGCATCTTATAGGTTGGCCAAACTTAAGATTAAAATTGTATATGAAGTAGGGCTAAATAGTGCCAAAAAGTTTGAGCATTTGTTAAATTTAATATAGGAATGTATAAATAACGAAAACATCATTAAGAAAATAAAAAATAAACCTGTCATTCAGTGTCAGACGGTGATTATGAAAATTTGTAGTTCAACTTTTGTCCACATTTCTTTGACGTTTCAATATATGTATATTTATTTTTGCATTGGCATAAACAGCATCTATGACTTGTATTAATTGATCGCGGTCAGTGGTAAATATGACGAAATTCGGCATGTTTTTCATGTTTTTGGTGACAAAAACATGGCGGCGAAGTTAGCGAGAAATGACGAGCAAGTCGTCCAGGGATTTAAAAATAGCTCAATGGATCTGCCCGAGAGCAAGTCCTCTAGGAATTTTAATATAGCTCAGCTTCATTGTCCGCCATCCTGGCTTTACTCATTAATGAAGGAAAGTCAGAGAGCTAGCGTTCCAGTCTTATTTGAGTTCACGGATCCAAACGGCTCTAAGATTTTTTCCTTTTTAAAAAATCGAAAAATTCTTTCACAATAAAACTCGGAAAAATGCGTAATTTCCATTGTGTATTCTCTTTAAGCCTCAAAATGACCATTTAACAGCTGTAAGATGAGTATGATGAGCTCCCAAAAGATTGGAGATTGCGTATTCAAAAGAGAAATAATTGACCTTTATACAGAAATACACAATTGTGAACCAGTGATCAGATTTTCGGGTTGAAACTTCATAAATACAAATTTCTGCGGTGCTCCTTAATCCTTACCTACGGATATTCTATCAGTGTGTACACAGACGTTTGTTCTCATACGCTTCGCTCTATAACTGATTAAACAATTACTTAATGGTTTCCGTGTTTGCATGGATACATGGCCTAATCCAAACACGCGAGAATGTTGCGAGAGTTAAGAAAAGCGCGCCAATATTATATGGGTTCTAGATGTGGATTTTTACCCCTGAATTAGCTACCAGTAATTATGCATGACTAATAAATATAGCGCCACTATCAGTGAAAAAGCAGATCAATAACAAAGAGAAACAAATCAACATTGTTGTTTGAAGACGCTGCCACGCTGCTCCTTGGTTATCAATAGATACAAACTTATATTCGCAATATGAAAGCCTACCGGAAGCTCCGATTTCTTGTTCGCTTCTATTTCTGGCAAGTTTGGCAAGTCGTCATCTCGCTTCTGTTGCAATTCATTGCCACTTTGGGGTAAAATGTTAATTTTATCTGTGTTTCTTTTATTGAACGATATTTCAGTGTCCTTTGGTAATTC